CCATCTCAGCATATTGTTCTTTAAGCCTCTCCACAGCTTTTCTGTGCTCTTCATCCACTTCAGCTTGTTTGTTGTGTTGTTCTTTCATGAAGTCTTCCCACTGGATTATATGGTGGTTTTCACTAGCTATTAAATGGTCATTATAAATCTTTTTTTGTTTCTGCTCCTCCTGTTGGAGTCTATAGACTGAGTCAGTAGCTGTTTGCATTGATTCAGCAGACCCTCAAGTTCCACCAAAAGTTTCCAGCCATGTCTGAGAGGCAGCCTTGGGGCGGAGGCAGGCGAGGAGCGAGTTGTTCCGGGCCTGGCTGCTTCGGGCCTGGCCTCTGTTGCTCTGGTCCATTCCACAACCAGCTGCTCCGGGTCTGGCCACTGCCGCTCCCGACCTGGCTGCTCCGGGCGTGGCTGCTGCTACTCCAGGCCTGGCTGCACCCGACCCGGCTGCTCTGGGCCCGGCCACTCCAGGCCTGGCCGCTCCCAGCCTGGCAGCTGCTGCTCCGGGCCTGGCAGCTCCCGACCTGGTGCTCCGGGCTTGGCTGCTGCTACTCCGGGTCTGGCCGTACCCGACCCAGCTGCTCCGGGCCTGGCCACTCCAGACCTGGCTGCTCCAAGCATGGTTGCTGCTGCTCTGTGCCTGGCTGCTCCCAACCCGGCTGCTCTGGGCCAGGCTGCCCCGGGCCCGGCCTCTCCGAACCTGGCAGCTCCCGGCCTGGATGCTCCAGACTTGGCTCCTGCTGTTCTGGGTCTGGCTGCTCCCGACCTGGCTGCTCTGGACCCAGCTTCTCCAGGCCCGGCCACTCCGGGCCTGGGTGTTCCTGGACTGGCCACCCTGGGCTTGGCCGCCTCCGCCTCAGGCCTGGCTGCCACTGCCCCAGGTCTGGCTGCTCCAGGCCTGGCTGTTGCTGCTCTGGTTCTGGCTGCTGCTGCTCTGGGGCCTGGCTGTTGCTGCTCTGGGGCCTGGCTGTTGCTGCTCAGGGCCAGGCTGCCACTGCCTTGTGCCTGGCCACTCTAGGCCTGGCCGCCGCCGTTCCAACATTCTGTCCCTTTTTTTTTTTTTTTAAAACAAACAAACACGCATTTATGTTGCAATGTTGGCTGCTGAGTTGAGTTCTGACTTAGTCTTCGATTTTTCAAGATCTTCTTTGTATTCTTTCTTAAGTAATTTTACTATCTTTTGTTCTCACTTGATTTCTTCACATTGGAAACTTCTTCGGTTTCTTCCTCCTTGTCCTAGAAGCTCAGCAGGTTGGCCTGTGGCACCCCTTTGTTCTCTGCAGGCTCCTGCGCTGCTTCAGCCTGTTGCCTGGTTCGGTGCTGCCCAGGAAATAGCCCCCGGGCTCCGTGGCCCATGCTCAGTGGTTGAAGGCCCAGGGGCACCCCCCCCACCCCCAGGGGCCCTGTCGCCTGGCTCCTTGCTGGCGCCCGGCTGGCCAGTGTCCGGGAGGGGCTCCTGCTCCTCGTCGCATTCCTCCAATCTGGAGCTTTTTTTCTTCTTCCCACTAGGGGAGTCTAGCATCAGAGTCAACAGACTGTCCTCTGCGCGCAGTGTGCGCGACTCTGGGTGCTCCGCTTTTCGCCGCTCCCCCAGGACTCCACCTCACAGCCCCATCTCCCCCTGCCTAAGCCTGGGTCCCCAGGGTCTGGCCTAAAACTGGGGTTCAGAGCAGTCGAATCTGGTGCCCAGCAAGGCTGGAGCTCCTGTTTTTTTCCCTCCAGGGCAATCCCACATCAGAGTCAACATTCCTTCCCTTGAGCGCAATGTGCGCGACTCCGGGGCTCGGCCTTTCGCCACTCTCCTAGGACTCCACCTCACAGCTCCGTCTCCCTCTGCTTGAGCCTGGGTACCCAGGGATTGGCCCATAACTGGGGCTCAGTGCTGCCGGTTCGGGGGTTCAGCCCAGGCTGGGGGTTTTATTTCCTTCCTGCTAGGGAACGCCAGACAGCACCCAGCCCTCCCCTCCTCTCCGGCTGCGACCTCTCCGCGCGCGCGTGCGTGTGAGTGCGTAGCATGTCTCCGTACCTTAGGCTTTTTCAGCTCCTCTGATTTTCCTTCTGGTTTTCTCTTTCCTTCTTGTTGTAGAATTTTCAGTCAGTCGAATACCTGTAGCTCGGGCAATGTCCACTCTATATTTTAGTTGTATTCCATTGAAATTGTTGTGTGCTGCTGCGGTTAGGTGTCTACCTGAGCAGCCATCTTGGATCCTCCCCCTTATGAGTTTTTTTTTTTTTTTTTTTTTTAACAAACTAATTTATTTTAGAGTTATAGTTGACATATAATACTAGTTATAGTTGACATATAATATATTTCTAAGTTATAGAAATGTCTAATCACTATCAGGTGTACAAGATAGTGATTAGGCATTTCTATACCTTACAAAGTGATTACCATGATAAGTCTAGTAACCATCTGTCACCATACATAGTTATTACAATGTTATTGACTATTAGAGGTCTGATGCACAAAGATTCATGCAAGAATGAACCTTACTTCCCCTGGCTGCCGCACTGCCTTTGACTCCGGCCTGAGCCACCTTTCTGCCTTCCCACACTGCCCAGAGGCCCAGAGCGCCTAGGGTGGTGCAGAACACCTGGGTTGTCGCTATGGCAACAACACAAGCATCCTGCCACCCCCCACCCCTTTCACATGCCGCTCAGTGCCTGTGTATGCAAATTAAACCACCATCTTTTTTTAGTTAATTTGCATATTCCTTCTTGATTGGACAATTTACATCTTACACTTTTATTAGTGTAGATATTTCTTATGCTGTGCATTACATTCTAATGACAGTTCACATTTTTTGCAAGGTTACATGATGAAATTTTAGGTTTCTATGGCAGCAGATCCCAAAACTTATTGCCTTAAGATAGGGGTGTCGAACTCAATCAGAGAAGGGGCCAAAATCTAAAATCCAGCCTAAATCGCGGACCGAATGGTTTACTGAACAGTCATAAACTGTCATTGTGATGGAAACGCAGCGGAGTGCAGTGATGACAGCGCGGTGCGGGCCACATTGCAAGGCCTGGCGGGACGGATTTGGCCCGCGGGCCTTGTGTTTGACACATGTGCCTTAAGACAATAAAACAATAGTTTTTCTAATATATCTGCATTTGGGGCAGGCAGAGCTTGCTTGCACCAGCTTGTGTTTGCTCTACTCAGACAGCAATTGGGGCTCCTTAATGCCGAGCACAGGCATCACCTAAAACATCACTCAGCTGCACATCAGGCGGTTGATGCTGGTTGGCGGTTGATGGCTGGTGGTTGAGACCTTAGCGGGGATGTGGGCCAGAACACCTACATGAGGCCTCACCATGTGCCAAAATTAAATGGCACTACACTGGAAAACTTAAAGAGGGGTGAGGGTAGGCATCAAAGTGCTACTCTTCCCCCTGTCCCCCCACCCCCCACCATGCCAAAAGAAAGTCATGGAAATGTAATGTACAGCATAAGAAATATAGTTTTGTTCATCTGGGAAGTTATAAAATCACTCCCAGTTTCAAGGATGTATAGACCTCACTTGATGAGTAGTGAAAGTTCTAGAATTTCTGGGATGAGAAACACTGCAGTAGCCATTTTTGGAATGGACCACAGGTGCATATGCTACATTTACATAATACCACCTCTGGGTCTGAGGCTTCATTCTGAATGAAACCCATTAATATTTCTGCAACAAAATTAATGAACATTCACACAAAGTAGAATAAATTCAAATTACAAATCTAAATGCTTCAATTCCGTTTTTGCCATCAAATGAGTTACCAAAAATATTTTAGTTTTCATATATTTTTCAGACTCCAGTAAGTGATTTTTGATATGTAATATATTTTGTGCTGATGGAGGCTTTAGGTACCCGATACGTATCTGGAAAGACAGTAGAAGGACTAGGGGAGTAAGAAATCTTCACAGAAGAGGTAACTAAAAAGGGATTAGTGAGGAAGGACATTCTAAACCAAAGAAACTGTGTGAAGGAGTGTGGTATACGGAGAAAAGCAAGAGTTTCCGAATATCTGGAATATATACATGAGAGAGCATCAGGAGCCAGATCACAAAGAACCTTGAATACCATCCTATGGAATTTGGATTGCGTCTTGTAGAGACCGTTGAGTCAGTGTTTTAATCAGAAGAGGATGCAATTGTATTTGCCCTTTTGGGATGATTATTTTGATGACAGGCAGTAGATCAAGGGAAAGAGGATGGGCTTCACTTAGGAACTCCTCAGGAGGCAGCTAGAATTGATGATGGTCTGAAATAAGAGTGAGGAAGAATTGCTGCATTTAGCTGCCATTTCTTTTTGTACTCTAAGTCAGAGTGAATCAAGAAAAGCATGCTGTGGGGATGGTACTGAGTTGTCAGATTGCCTCTTTTCTAATTTAATTTTTTATTTGAGTAATGTATATATCTTGACAATGTAAAATAGCAAAAGGCGAATAAATACCACATCTCATTATCGCCACTCTTTTTTCTTAAAGGGTCCTACTTTCATTCCTTTAATTTTAATTTTAATTTTTTAACATAATAGAACATACTTTCACTTCTTTAAATGATTTCTTCTGAGATTTACCTTCATGATCTAAATAATATGCTGTACTTGAAAAAAAAACACAACTATTGAAAATGACTTAAGTAATAGAACTAATTCTCACATAATAAGTCCAGATTGGACAGGCTTCAGACTGTGTTTGCCTCCATCTCAGCGGGCTCCTCTCTCAATCACAAGATTCACGATTTAGTTCCAAGAGTCACATGGAAGAAAAATCCAGTGGAAGAAGAGCGGCTGTTCTTGTGAGTCTTTGTTTCGTTTAGTTTATCAGCAAATAAATCTTCAGAGGCTCTCCGGCTGCTTCCCCTCCTGTGCCCTTGGCTAATTTGGGTCACATGCCCTGTGTCAGATTATCAGTGTTGAGTTGGCATCACCACTACCCCTTCTAAGGTCTCCTTTGCTTTGAAGAGGAAAAGTGAGGAGCTTTTGCCAGAATTCCCTTTGTCGTGTGTTTTTAGGCTAGAGTGTGTTGATGGGAGACACCCTTGAGCCAGTCTGCTGGAGAGATCATTATTCTCTAGTTAATTGGAGCCAGAATCATAAGTGGATGTGACACTCCTAGGAACTTCAAGGTGAGTCTTGAGAACAGCCTGCTTGAGCGCTTCCAGTTGAGAAGGTCAGCGGTGATTTTTCTGACCATTGCTCCCTTAGGCCCTTTCTCTGGATAAGCCACCAATTTCTTATTTAAAAACCCTTTATGTAAAGAGTAGTTTCTGGTTGCCTGACTGATGACCCTTCCTAAGCATATCATTGATGCAAGGGAAATGAGTTATAGCACTGACACAGATTAATCAGGATTTATTAATCAGGTATGTGGGAGGAGGATGGACATCTGAACAAAATTCTTGTTCTGCCACTACCAGCACCACCACCAACAAAAATGGGTGGATACCGAAGTGTGATTTCAGAATGGAGCAAAATAGTGATGCTGGGAAATCTGGCTTTTGGTAATGGTGGTATAACTTAGTTGGACTAACCCTCCCATAGAAAATAATGGTAAAGTATGTATAAAAATATTGCAGATCGACTTTTTAAACACATTGGACAGAGATAAAAAGCAGGCAGAAATCGGAGATGAATCTACACTTAAAAGATTGGAACTGCACTGTGGTGATTTTTTTAGTTTGCAGTTTTTGCAGTTTTTGCTCAGAGATGCTCACCAACCCACTAGGTAGCTCAGGATGAAGTTTCAGCTTTACTGGATAGTGGTGTCAAGAATACAGCGGTCAGAACTAGAAGAGCAGCTGGGAAGCAAGGAGGGATCCTAGAAGGAAGGGAGCTGTGGAGGTGGTGAGTCTCCAAGTATGCGTAAACCCTGCTCATATTCTGGTCTTACCACTGAAGTTTGCATCAGTGTGGGAGACCACAAAGTGCCCAGTGGAAAAGTGGCAACTAGAAGCTGAAAGAACCGAGTAGGGATTTCAGTTATAGCTCATGGAGAGACAAGCTCTAGGTGAAGATAGGCCGGGGTGGGGGGGGGAGGAGGAAATACCATATATATATATAGATAGATAGATAGATAGATAGGTAGATAGATATAATTTAAACACAATCTATTTACTTTATATTTTTAAATATATAGCCCCAGTTAACATGCCTGCTTAATAATTCTCCTATGCAAAGAACGCTTAAAAAGAAATATTTTTTTTGCATGAATCCAAGTGGATTATTGTAAAATAATATTTGTTTTAGCATTGTTTAAAAATCTACTTCTCCTCAACAAAATATTAGCAAATCAAATCCAATAATGTATAAAAATTATATAACACAACCAAATAAGATTTATTTGCAACTATGCAAGGCTGATTCAACATTTGAAATCAATTAATGTAATCCATCACCTCAGTAGGCTAAAGAAGAAAAGTCATATGATCCTATGAATAGATGCAGAAAAATGTTTTTAGAAAATTGCTCATTTATGATAAAATCTCTCAACAAAGTAGGAATAGAGGGGAATTTCCTTAACTTGATAAAGAATAGAGAAGTTCCCTTCATCTTATTTGTGGTTTCTTTCCACAATGTTCCTTTTTATGGTTTCAGTTACCTGTGTTCAACCATAGTATGGAAGTATTAAATGGAAAATTCCAGAAATAAATAATTAGTAAGTTTTCAATTGGGTGCTATTCTGAGTGTGTGATGAAATCTTCACCTCCCCACTCCATCTCACCCAGGACATGAATCATCCCTTTGTCCAACATCTCTATCTATAATAAGAAGAGTGTAATATCCTTCCGGACGAAGCTGGGCCTGTGAGGCCCTCTAGTACTATTTATAATACCCAACTGTCAGTCACTTAGTAGCTGTCTCAATTATTTGTCTGTTGCAGTAATGTAGTGCTTGTGTTTAAGTGACCTTTATTTTACCTAATAACGGCCCTAATAACTTTTATTAAAGTGTATGTTATAATTCTATCTTATTAGTTATTGTCCATCTTTTACTACACCTAATTTATAAATTAAACTTTATCTTAGATATGTATGTATTGGAAAGAACATAGCATATAGAGGGTTTGGTACTATACACGGTTTCAGGTATCATAGAGAGTCTTGAACATATCCTCCATGGATAAGGGGGAGATATTAAAAAAAAAAATCTACATCTAACATCATACTTAATGGCAAGAAACTAGATTTTTTTCCCATTTGATTGAGAATAAGTCAAAGATGTCCACTCTCACCATTCCAATCCAAGATCATCTAAAAGTCCTAGCAAATGTAATAAGATAAGAAAAAGGAAAAATAGGAATGTAGGTTGATGAAGAAGAAATAAAACTGTCTTTGCTTCCAGATGACACCTATGTAAAAAAATCCCAAGGAAATAACAACAACAACAAAAAAACTGGAACTGATAAATGATTATAGCAAAGTTGCAGGATACTAGGTTAATATAAAAAATCAATTTCTTTCTTATATAACAACAAACAGTAAAATTTGAAATTAATAACATAGTACCATTTACATCCACAACACAAAAAAATGAAATACTAGTCAATATAAGTGTAAGAAAATATGTATGAGATTTATACAAGGAAAATGACAAACTCTGATGAAAGACATCAAAGATCTAAATCAGGGGTGGGGAACATCTGGCCTTTGAACCATATAACGACCGAAAAATCATTTGGTCTGACCTTGCCAATGCATTAGGGTTGAATTAAATAAATGTTTGACAAAATATAGGAGGCTAATTTTTTAAAAAAATTGTTTTTATTGATTTTTAGAGAGAGGAAGGAAGAGGTACAGAGAGAAATAGAAGCATCCATGGGAGAGAAACATCATCGATTGGCTGCTTCCTGCACACCCCCTACTGGAAATTGACCCCACAACCTGGGCATGTGCCCTGAATAATTAAACTGCTGACTTCTGGGTCATGGACTGATGCTCAACTACTGAACCACACTGGTCAGGCATAATTTTTAAGTTGATAATTTTGTATGGCCTGGGAATGATGTTATAAATATCCAAATGGCCTTTGGCAGAAAAAAAGGTTTTCTACTCCTGATCTAAATAAATGGACAGAGATTCTATGTTTATGGGTAGGAAGACTCAATATTATCAAGATGCCAGTTTTTCCCAATTTGATCTATAGATTCACTGCAATCCCAATCCTATATAATTAAAGCCCAGTGACCAAATGACAAAACTACCAGAATGACCAGTCAACTAGTTGCTTTGACATGCATTGACCACGGGGGGGAATATACTCAAGATAGGAGCTATCCCCTAATGATCAGTGTGCTACCACCATGGGAGCACTGCTCGGCTGACTGGGATGAGCAGCTGCTCCTGCTGCGAACCCCAGGCTGATGGGCAGGAACCCTGGCTGCGATCATCACCTCCTCTCCTTGGGGTCCTCTTCCTCACTCCCTGCTGCCTCCTCCAGATGCTCATAGGCCACGTATCACCACCTTCGAGTTCATGGCTGCCATGGGACTGAGACCTACTCTGCTGCCTCTCAGTGCTATTTTCCCTGGGCCCAGCCCCAACTGGGTCCCCTGGAGAGGCATGTGCTTTGGCTCCACAGAAGATGCCAGACCAGGGAGCAGCCCCTCAGAGGGCGAGTCCACAGCCACTTAGCTGACCAGGATGAGCAGCACTCCCACAGCAGGCTGGTCCCTGCAGGCCATGCCCCCCACCTGTGCACAAATCCCATGCACTGGGCCTCTAGTCTCTCTCTCTCTCTGTCTCTCTCTCTCTCTCTCTGTCTCTCTCTCTCTCTCTCTCTCTCTCTCTGTCTCTCTCTCTCTCTCTCTCTCTCTCTCTCTATATATATATATATATATATATATATATATATATATATATATATATATAAGCCTAAGCGGCTGAACGACTGGTTGACTGGTTGCTCTTATGTGCACTGACCATCAGGGGTCAGACATTTAATGCAGGAACTGCCCCCTGGTGGTCAGTGCACTTCCATAGCCAACCTCCTGTGGCTGGTCAACCTCCTGCGGTCCCTCCCCCAGGCCAGCTGGCCAACCTCCCATGGTCCCTCCCCCTGGCTGGCTAACATCCTGGGTCTCTCCCCACAGCTGGCCAGCCCCCCTAATTGGCCCCTCTTGCCAGCCATCCGAGGGACCCCACCCATGCACAAATTCATGTACCAGGTCTCTAGTCCAAGAATAAAAAGGTAAGAAATAGATCCACACAAACATAGTTAAGTGATCTTTGATAAAGAAATAAAGGCAACTTAATAGAGAAAGAATAGTCTTTTCAACAATGGTGCTAGAACTGGACATCCACATGCAAAAATATGAATCTACATAACTTTCACACCTTTTACACAAAGTAACTCAAAATGATCATGGGCTTAAATGTACAAAATGGCAAAATTCCTAGAAGATAAATTAGGAGAAAACCAAAGTGACTTTGGTTTTTGTGATGACTTTTCAGATAAAACACACACACAAAAAAAAAAAGATCTGTGAAAGAATAATCTGATAAGTAGGACTTCATTAAAATTAAAAGACTTCTGTTCTTTGAAGGACACCATTCAAAGAATTAATAAAGCTACAAACTGAGAGAAAATCTTTGCTACATACATATTTAATAAAGGTATGCAAAATATCTAAAGAACTCTTAAAACAGAACATTAAGAAAATGAAAAACTTTTTTTTTTTTTTTAATGGGCAAAAAATCTGAACAGACATCTCAAAAAGAAAATATACAAATGGCAAATAATGATGAAAGAAGGTACTCAAGCCATGGCTGGTTTGGCTTAGTTGGCTGGCCCGTTGTCCCATGCACCCAAAGTGGCAGGTTGGATTCCTGGTGAGGGCTCATACCCAGATTATGAGTTTCATTCCCAGTTGGGGCACACACCAGAGGCAGCTGATCAATGTTTCTCACAGCCATGTCTCCTTCTCCTTCCATTTTTCTCTCCCCTCCCCTTAAAAGTTAAAAAAAGAAAAGGTGATTGATATCATGTATTTAGGGAATTGCAAATTAAGACAAGATAGCACTATACATCTATTAGAACGGCTAAAATTCAAAACACCGACAACACCAAATGCTAGTGAGGATGTGGAGCAACAGGAACTCTTCCGTTGTTGGTGGAAATACAAAAAAATACAAGTATATACTTTGGAAGATAGCTTGGCAGTTCTCCACATCTCACACCTCCAAAGTAAAAATACTCTTACCTTAAGATCCAGCAATCAAACACCTAGCCAAATGAGTTAAAAATGTCCACAGAAACCTGCACACGGATGTTTATAGTAGATTTATTCCTAATTACCAAAATTTGGAAGCAACCATGATGTCCTTCAGTAGCTGAACAGATAAACAGGCTGGGGTACATTCATACAATGAACATTTGGCAATGAAAAGAAATGAGCTATGAAGCTCTGATAAGACATGGGAGCAGCTTAACTGCATAGTGCTAAGTGAAAGAAGCCAACTGGGAAAGCTATGTACTGTACTAGAGGCCCGTTGCACGAAGAGATTCATGCACTAGGCCTTCCTTCCCTTGGCTTCCAGCACCGGTTTTCCTTCGGCACCCACGACCCAGGCCTTTGCTCTGGCCAGAGTCTGCCGCCTTTGCTGCAGACGCCAGCAGGAGTCTGCCCTCTTCTTCGCTGCAGACTCTGGCTGGAGTCTGCCATCTTGGTCTTCGCTGCAGACTCCTGAGTCTGTAGTCTTGGTCTTCGCTGCAGTCGAGTGCCGCTCATGGAGATCCCTTTGCCCCCTGCCCTCCCTCTCATAGCAGGTGCCCTGCCCCACCTGGACATTCTGCACCAGGCCAGCTTTGTCCTTCTAATTTACATATTCTCTCCTGATTGGCTGGTGGGCGGAGTGATGGTCAATTTGCATGTTTTTCTTTTATTAGTGTAGATGATTCCAACTATATGACATTCTGGGAAAGGCAAAACTATGGAGACAATAATAAGATTAGTAGTTTACAGAGGACAGGGGGAGGGAGGGATGGATGAAGAGGTAAAGCACAAGGGATCCTTAGGGCAGTAAAACTATACTGTGATGGTATACACATATTTTTATATATTTGTCAAAACAGATAGAATGCACTAGAACAACACAAAGAATGAATCTGAAGGCAACTTTGTACTTTAGTTAATCATAATGTGTCAGTGATGGCTGATCAATTATAACAGATGTACCATACTCATGCAAGATGTTAATAATAGGGGAAACTCAGTGCAGGGAGTGAAGAGGGGTGTATGGGAATTCTGTATTTTGCTCATTTTTCTATAAACCTAAAACTGCTCTAAAAATATTATATTAATTGAAAAGATAAACAAAAAATCTTAAAGAAAAAACATAGCTATTGATATGTTTTGTTTTTAATATATTTTATTATTATTATTTTTTTTTACAGAGAGGAAGGGAGAGAAATAGTTAGAAACATTAAGATTAATGAGAGAGAAATATCAATCAGCTGCCTCCTGCACAACCCCTACTGGTATATGCCCTTGTCTGGAATCAAACCTGGGACCCTTGGGTCCGCAGGCCAACACTCTATCCACTGAGCCAAACTGGTTAGGGCTTGTTACATCTTGAGAGATGCTGCAGTGTTGTTGAGTGTCATGAATAGTGGAGACTGACTCTCCCAACTGTAGACCCTTGTGGAGGTGGACTTCTTCAGGTTAACTAACATGCAGAGGGGAAAACTTTAGGTCTAGGTTTCATTTCTCTAACTGTGGCTTTTTTTCTGATGATTAATTATAT